CAACTATGATGTACAACTATCTACTCGGGCTTTGGGGGGAAAAAAAGGAGGAGGATTGGTATAGATGTTAGCTCAGAGCCAGTCTTCCTCAGCAAAAAGTGGAGGATTAGCATGGATGTTAGCTCAGGGCTGATCTTCCTCAAAAAAAAAAGGTGAATGGCAATACAACCAGAGAACAATGGCCTGGTGAGGGCAGAGTGGAAGACCCTGAGGCACCTGTTCTAGCACACCTGAGAAACCACATCTTAGGGACTATAGCGTGCCACCAAGTGACATATTGGCTTCTGTGACATCATGATCTTCTCCTGCCTTCTGGTTGCTCCTTCTCAGTTTCTCTCACTGTTCTTTTTCTCTTTCTCTGCTCCTAAGTGCGGACATTCTGCAGGTCCTGCCTCATCCCTTCTCATTCTACAATCTCTTCTGTGATAATATCATTTTTTCCCAGGGTTCAACCATCACCCTCAACCTATGTCCCTGGTCCAAGCTCCCTTCCAAGTTCTAGCCCTCAGAGGCCACCTGACTCTGGAATAGCTTCCTGAGTCACCTGCAAGCATATCAAACCCAATGCATCCAAACTCATCATCACCTCCCTCTTTTTCATCCTCCATATCTAATTTATTTCCAAATCTGTCCAGTCTACCCCCGAAATACAGCTCATATTTAACCTCATATTTGCATTGAGTTCCCCTATTCAAAACTTTGCTGGCCTTTCTCTGGACAATTGAAGTCACCTCTGAATTGGTCAGTCTAATCCACATCCAACATATCCTATACGATGGTATCAGGGTTATCATTGTAAATTATCTATTACAGGTAAGACCATGTCTGCCCCTCTCTAAAAACCTTAATAAATGCCTCTCTAAAGCCTTGTACATCCTCCTGCACCCATTCTCAGTGAGCCAAAAATCGTTCTCCCAAACTCATTTGAACTCTCTGGCCCCACACTCTGCTACAGCCTAATTCAGTCATCTTCCAAGTCGCGTCTCCTCCACACGACTTTCCCAGACTCTCTTGGTCAAATTAACCCTTCCCGTCCCTACACTCAAGGTGGGTGGCTGCAGCTCTCCTAGAGCATTTACCACAAGCTGCCTGGTATTGCAGGCACTTGTCGGAGTATCTGGCTCCCCATTAGATTGTAAAGGCATCTGTGTAACATCACACAGAACACCTAACCAAAGGTTAACAGAGGGATGGCTGTCTAATCTCCCAGAGGATCATGAAATATAGACTTCACAGGAGCATTTCATGTAGCTTCCAGGGAGGTTTTACCTTCTTAATTCGTAAAGTTTCCCCAATGAACATCAAAGTGAATGATAAAATCACCAATTCTAACTCAATGACCTAGAATTTGGAGTCTACCAGAAGCCTGCTGTAAAGTGGTGGATTCTACACTGGATTGTCCTAGTCAGAGGTGCCAAGAGATGGGTGACAGTAAATAAACCAAGGAAGAGGAACCGTAAGTGTTGTAAATTGAAAAAAGTCTGTATAAAGTACAAAGGATGCAATTTTGGACAACATGGCCCAGCTGGGGAAAGTTGAGAACCAGCAGTAGCTGACTAGAGATACTGCCTGTGGTTGAGTTGACAAAATTTCTGACTTGATTAAGAGCAGAGTTTAAATTGCAAACAGTTTAAAAAAAGAAGAGGCATCATCGCCCATCCTACCTTCCCTCAGTGCACACTGGCACCATCGCTACCACCAGTGGGAAAAATGCAGGGACAAAGAGGGATGGCTGAAAGTGGGGAGGGAAGAGTCAATCCACTATACTTTTGCACCCACTAAGAATGGAGACAGCAGGATGCAAACTGCCAAATGGAGAACAGGGCCTGGCCCAACGTGGGCACTCAATAAATATTTGGTGAATGAATGAACATTGACACACTTGATCATCTATTCAGACATTCATTCATTTACTGAGCATCTACTGTATACCCTAACATCACTCTCATCAAAAATACACATTCTAGATTTGGAAAAGCATTGACGGTCTTCGATGGTAAGAAGTCACGTGGAAAAAGAATTGTTCACTGTGCATGCGGCGAGACAGCTAGCAGCCTTCTTACGTGCGCAGACAATAATCGCATTGCTTTTGCACGGTCCCCTGCGGTTTCTACTTTACAAAGCACCTCCATGTATATTCTCTCTTTTGATTCTCATAACGCAAATTATACATGTCAGTACCATTCGTAGGCTCCAGCAGGGACTGCTGATTATGATAAGGACAAAATAGAAGCTACTTAGAAAGGCTCTTTCTCATTGACATGAGAATATATTTACCTACCACGTGCCAGACACTGTTCTAGGTACTGGGAACACAGGAATGGACACAAAAGGTCCCTGCCCTCATGGTGCTTGCTTCCAGTGGCTGACCACGTTCCTGAGGATGTGGCCTCTGCCCACCTGCTCATCCTCATCCCCCAACTCCCTTCCTCCACTCCAGTTACTTGGAATCTCAGGCAGTTTTCCGAACGTGCCCTGCTAAGGAAATACCCCACCACACATTGTCACCCACCATCTCCTCTGTTTGGAATACCGTCCTCCCTTCTCCATCTTGCTACTTCCCTCTGGGCCATCCAGTTCAGGCAGGCCCAGGCATCACTCCTCAGGGAAGATTTGCCCATCGTCCCCCACTGGGTCCAGGAACCCCACACACACGTCCTGAGGAAGGGTTATAGGTGGAGAGGTTCATCTGTGGTTATGGCTCTCCCTTGACTAGGTATTATTTTCTTCCTTTTGGTGGACATCAGCCATTTGGGCCACCCAGCATTTGTTCCCCCACTGACCTTCAGTGGGGACACTCATTATCCCCCATGAGTCCCAGGAGGATCTGATTCCACAAAGAATCTAGGGACAGAGAGTAGAGGCTTTGCCTCGGAACTAAGCTAATCCACACAATCCCATTTCCCTGAATGCAGTAATTCACTTAAAGAAGAGAATGTGATCCAAGTTGGTCCAGTTGGAGTGAAGTCCAGAAATTTTGTTGGAACATTGTGGAGTGAGGCATTCAGAGTCCACGTGAAGGATGTAGTCCTTGGAGATGCTGGCAGCCAGCTGGCGACCACAGGGGCCTGTCTGAGTACCCAGGGCCAACACAGAGGTGGCCGAGTGGAGAGTTGGGTCCTAGGCATGCTGCTTAAGACTCAGATTACTTTCTTACAAAAGCCAGCATTCGCCACACATCTTCTCTCCTCTCAAGGAAGTTTGGGCTGGGTTTTCTATCCTGAGAAATTCACTCCATTACAGGAGTGGAATAGCTACAATGAATTGTCTTTCAGGATGTATTATAGCCAAGCCTTTGCAGGCTTTCTTCAGGGACTTTTATGACACAAGACCAGAAGCAGAAGTTTCCAGAAGATAACCCCCATTTTGTTTGCAAAAGCCTAGACTCACTGATGTTTTTATCCAAAAACTATTCCGCATTCCCCAAATTTGACTCAACTTTCCAAAGCAACTAAGCTGTATAAGCCGTGGTTCAGAAATGAAAATGTCTGTTAGCCTTTAAAACAGGAATGATTAAAAATATGCCCCCTGCTGCACACACATATTAAATTTTTGTTTAACAGTGAAGTCAATTTTATATTCTGGAGATTAACTAAGGCTGAAAGAGAAACTTTGGATGCCTTGGAAATTATGTAGTGAGTTATATAGCAGACAACTCACAGAAGCAGTGTATGTCCACCTTATGTAAACATGTAGGTAAATAATTTAGAAATCATTTAATATAGAATCAATATGATTCATGTTTTATTAATAACTCAAAACTGATGATAATAAAATTAATCAAAGAGAAAGACAATTCATCTTCTAGCCTGCTATTACTTTGTTCAAAAGGCCTTATAGGGGTTTCTGACTATTTCTCAAAGACAGAAGCCACAGAATACTTTGCTGTGAATATCACATATATCTCCCTGCCTGCACACACTTACACACACATGCACACCCAGCACTGGACTGCAATGGTTACATGCACGGGCTTTGGAGCCACATAGACACTTCCTACTTGTGGCTTGGCCAAGTAACTGAATCCCACTACCCTCAGTTATGTCATCTGCAAAATGGGAAAATAGTGACTTCTTACGTTGTAGGAAGGATTAAATAAAACAATCAATGTAAAATACTTAGTCTAGGGCATAATATGAACAATAATAGCTAAAATTGCATTCTGGGCACTATCTTAAGCACTTTATAAGTGTTAGGTCATTTAGTGTAGACAACAACCTATACTCAAGGAAGATGCTAATATTATCTTCATGGTGCTAATGAAGAAACTGAGGTTCAAAGTCACGCAGCTGCTGAGGGACAAGACTCAAGTACCACAGAAAACATCACAAAAGATGACACATGATGGCTAACATGATTGTGTTTGTTTTCAACAGGATGCTTATAGAAAAAGGCTTTCATCTCAAGATTTTCTTTTGAAGGGGTTCTAACCAACTAACTCGATTTGGGTTAAAATTTGACAGTGATACAAGATGCTTAAAAATTAAGTCAATGGGACTACAAACTTAACATCCTCAATGATAATGATAACTTCAACTTTGCTAGGTCAGATGGAAAGAGCTTACTCTCTGAAGCCAGAGAGTGGGCAAAGTATTTGCATATAGTTGATGAGCATGGTTAAAGAAAAATCTGAGAAATGGGGTGTTGTCTGATTCTACTGCAAACTACTTGTGTAAGCTACAAGCTACGGAGTCTGAACTTCCTTATCTGTCAGATGAGGGGATTTAATTAGACCAGTGACCCTCAACTCCACTACATGCTACATATTAAAATCATCCAAAGAGCTTTTAAAAAAATGCCCAGGCCTGGGCAGCTCCAGATATTCCAATCTAACTAGCCTGGGTATAGCCGTGGCATGGGAATTTTTGAACGCTCCCCAGGGATTCTGATGTGCAACCAAGGTGGAGAACCACTACATTAAGTCATCTCTAAGGCTCATCTCAGATGTGAAATCGCAGTTCCACATGCATCTAAAGATCACAGAGGCAAAACAGAAATACCTGCAGCAGAATCTTGTTGCCATCATAGTCCTGTGTTTGCCACCTGGTGCGGCTGATGGGGACACACGGATGGGGTAGAAGAGGCACTAGCTGGCCGATCTCTTGAACCTTGAACTGCAGCACCGAAGACTCTTTCGGGTCCACTGACATTCCCAGAGGCAGCTGCTTCAGGGAGAGCTGCAGAGCAAAGCTCTCGGTGGCGTAGAGCTCGAAGAAGCAGAAGTTGCTCTTCTGCAAGGTGGCTTCCCTCTGCAGGATCATCTCGTAGAGTCTGATGGCGTCCTCGTAGTTATCAAAACTGCAGTAGAGCGTCACCCTCAGGATCTCAGTCCCGCAGTGCACCTGCCTCACACCCCAGACCGGCATCTGGTTGTCCAGACTGTAGAACTCCTGATTGGCAAGAATGTGGGGACACGGTCTTCCCTGGGCATTCCGGGTGGGGTAGCACTGCCACGGCCAATGCTGCAGGGAGTCCAGAACTCGAAATAGCCGCTCCTCTCCGAGGCTTTCCTGCAGGAAGAGCAACACAGACACCCCCGGGAACCGTGACCTCTTGGAATGACACTTGTCGTAGTCTTTCACTGGACTGACCCTCTCTGACACCAGAAAGAGACGAACCTCCGGGCAAATGCAGTCCAGGAGCTGGTCGAGAGTTCGCTGCAGAAGCGCGCCGTGGCCAGAGTTAGCGAGGAGGTGCACAGTCATGGCCAGGGGCTCCTGTGCCTCGTTCATTGTGGCGCTGCTCCCAGACGACAAAGGAAGCGAGCGTGGAGGGCCCACTGATCAAGCTTCTGACGTGAATGAAGGGGCGGGGGGTTCTCACGTGGAGCCTTCAGCCCACCAGGAAATGTGCGGCTGCTTCAGAGCAAAGCTCTCAACCCGTGTTCCTGGTGGCCAGTGGCCGCACAGCGAGGGAATCTGCACAAATTCGGGCACGACAGCCTCTGAAACACACAACCGCAGTGAGGTCGATGTCATTCAGCGCATGCCTAATGTAACTGCGTGTGTTTGGGTTTCTCAGGCGTTCCCCAGGGTTTCTGCCTGACCTAAAAACCCATAATCCTGAGAAACACCGGAGTGGGTGGGTGTTACAGACACGCAGGAAAGGAAATGACCGGGGGAAAAGGAACATGAGTCGTCTCTGTTAGGCTGATAGCCATCTGTTTAGTTGAAAAGACATTCATTTTACGGACCCACAATGGGTTCTGATTTCCTCCTCACATCTCAGTATTTACAGTGGCCCGCCAGGCCACCTGAATACAATGACTGCTTTAAAACAATTCGCAAAATTTGTCCCTTGGCCAGGATTTTCCCCCTTTGTCTTTTTATTTTAGTTTTGAGCAATTGATGTTAATGCACTGAAGTAAAGATATTTTATCTAAATAATTTTGACTGTTCACTGAAAATTATTTGCTCTGCTGCAAAGTCTGAGTCTACTAAAAAGATAGTCATTCACGCAAATTCTTTAGAAAGAGTGAGAGCTTTTGAAGGTCAATATCGTTGCTCATATCTATTAAGGATGTACTCTGTACTAGTCATAGACTGTTCTAAAACTTTACATGGATTGATTTATGTAATCAATCCTCCAGCATACCTATGAAGAAGAGACTATTACGAGCAAATTACTGGTGAAGAAACTGGGGCAGAGAAGATGTAAGTAACTTGCTCAAGGTCTCACAGCTAAAAAGTGGCTGAGGGAAGATTTGAACCCAGGAAGCGAGAGGTCCCCCTGTGAAGCAGAGAGGAGGTGACTCTTAGACCTGGAAGTCCCAGACTGGATTTTCTTCCTAAGGACAAGGATACCAAAGCAAGTTCTGGTGGAGGACACATATTTCCCAGAGATTCCGTGCTTTGACTCTTAAACTGAATAATCTTTAATAAGAATATCCAAGCTCTAAACATAATACCCACCCTAATGTGTTCTAAATATTCATTTGAAAATCATTTGCTATTCTGATAGCCTTGCTCCTAAAAAGGTATGAACAAGCACATTTTTCTAAACATAATTCTTAAAATAAGCAACTTATTAATGCTTATAATGGAATGCGGTGTGACAGTTTTTTATAAATTAAAAAGCACTTTTGTGATAAAAAATATAACTTACTCTAACTTTCATTTTATATAGGTGGATTCCTTTAATAATATAATAACCAAATTCAGAGTCCAATATTGTTACCCATGGAAAGGAATCATTTCTATTCAGATTTCTTTTCTAAATCTAACCTACAATTCTAATCATTTGCGTTTCATAAGTCCTATATTTTTGCATTGGAAGAATATATAAATATAATTTATAACAGATGAATTGTTTTTTAATTACCATCAGCGACTCAGTAATTAAATTCATTTTCCTTCAACTTTCCAAAAATCATTAGAATTTTTTTAAAGGCATTGTAGTTCTCAAGCTTTTCTTTAAAAAATTTGAAATTCATGTTGCATGTTGGCATTTGAATGCAATAACTTTCTCATCCTTCAGTGTGACCCCCTCTCCTTTTCCCCTGTTCTTTCCCTCACAGAGCTGACTGCACTCAGGCACTTTCAACTTTAGACACGGTTTTTGAAACAGCCTTTGCAATTCTGGAAATAACTCTAAAGATTCAAGGAGAAAAATTATACCCCCGACACAAAGATATTAACTCACAACATTTTGTACAAACGTTTAAGCCCTTATACAGAAAAGGTTTTGCTTCTTGCTGTTGTTTTAATCTTCTATCCAGTGCAAAAACATACTTTTCTCCTCTTGAGGTTGTCATTTCTGTCAGGATTGAAAAGACTTCATTAATCTGATGGCAGCCAAAGTGCCAAGAAATAGGGAGACTGGGCGGGGGGTGGGGGGAGGTGGTACCACCAGTCTCCTTTCTGATTGGCTGCTGCAGCAATTATTTCTCCAGGGACGACCTGAAATCTTGACCCTCGGAGTAACTGCCTCCACTCCTCCTCGCCCCCTTCCACCCACCACGACGGCCAGATTCTCAGCTGTGCGTCAGATTCCATGCACTCTTTATGTTTGCACGCTGCTTCTGTTGAAGGCACAGATGGATATTCTAGGGGAAGTCATCACTTTGACTCCCAGAACCTGGACAGCTGACACTTGCTTCTGTACCTTATTTTTCTTAAACTTGGCGAAGATGCCCAGGGATCTGTCAGTCATCAGCTCCTGGATGGCAGCCATGGCCAACTCCTTCTGGCAAAGTGGAGGAGCTGGTGACAGGTAGTATCAGGAAATCTAAGAAATCAGCTAGTTACGAGGATTTGAGGGAACCCGTGGAACATCCACAGGGGTTTGTACCTGGTGCAAGTTTCATAAATACAGTTGGGTACATTGTACCCTGAGATCCCACTGCCACCCCAAGAAAGAGTTTCTTTCTCTCTTTAACTTGTAAAACGTGTTTCTTTATCCCACATGTTGAGAGCCAGCCACTGCGCCAGGAGCAAAGAATACATAATCACCATGTCCCATTTCGGAGGAGCACCTTAAATCATGTCATCAGTGCTGTGATGAAGGTCACTGCAGGTTGCCATGGAAACCCCTAGGAGGAACCACCGACCTAGATGAGAGGGCCAAGGAAGCCTCCAGGAAGAGGAGATGCTACTTGAAGTCCTGCAAGTGAGAAGGAACGAGGTAGGCAGGTGAGGAGACAGGGTTGGGGAAGGAGGAGGGACTCCAGGGAGAGGAAATTGATGGGGACACGCGACACTCTGAGAAGAGTGTAGGGACTGTGACCCATTGGCAGAACTGCAAGCAATTCAAGATGGCTGGAGGGTGGGGACAAAGAAGGGGAATGTGGTAAGAGGCTGGAAAGGCAGCCAGGCCTTGCAGATCACCGTAAAGGGCCTGGAACCTCTTCTAATGGGAACAGAACCACAGAAGAGTCGGCTTGAAAGGAAGCCATGCTTTGGGGAAAACATGGACAGGAGTGATATATAGAAAGTCAAGGCAATGGAGAGTCTTGTTGGTTGGATGTGGGCAGAAAGCTGCAGTGGCGGGTCCAGGAGGCCTCCCAGGGTGGTGCTTACAGGTGCCTAGGTGAGGCTGTCAGTCACCAAATAAGGAACACCGGAGAAAGGGAGCAGCTGGGAAGGAGGATGAGGAGTCCAGTTTGGACATGGTGATGCCTGTGGGACATCAGAGTGGAAATGTCCAGTGGCCACTTAACATAGAGATCAGAGGGGAGCAGCAGCCTGGAGAATATGGTTGGGTAACCATTAGTCTTTAGGCAGCCGTGGGAGTGAATGTGATGACCCAGGTGGAGGACACCATGACAAGGATAGGAAAGGAAAGAGGTGGGAGTCGGGAGTACCCAGTTTAAGGGACAAGAACGTGTAAGTGGCATCCAGGGAGAAGTGGAGAGTGAGCGTGTTGTCCGAACCCTGTGTGGGCGTTTGTGTCTTAGGTTCAAGGATTTCAGGAAATGGTGCTGGCTGGCAGACATCGTCACTCAGAGTTTGAGCATCACATTTGTGACTCACTCTACCTTCTCAATTAAACAAATTCAAGAGAAGCACCAAGCAGACCTCAGAGCCATCAAGCCTCTGTTTCCCTTGTTCCCAGAACAACCTTCACTCTGATTCTTTGTCTGACATTCTGTTGCTAACCAGGAGCTAGGCATCGTAGAACTTGAGGCGATAACTGGAGAAAAGGGGCTGGGAAGGGATCATTTCATACTTACTTTTTAACCCCCGACAGCAGCCTGCAACCCTGTACTTGCAGAGTTGGCACTAATGGCTCTGCAGCAAAGAAGGAATCCTGGCATCTCCTAAGGGATAAGAATCCCAGGGAGGTGACAGGACTTTCTCAACCTCACATAGCTGGTTAGTGGCAGAGCCTGGATTTCTGGTTTTTAAACCATGCTTCCCCACCACTCCTGAGAGGAGCAATGCACAGCAGCTCTGTCTATTCAGGTCACAGCTTTCAAGTGCAGGACACACAGCCAGCACATAAAAAGGAAACAGGAAGATACGAGGAGGGGGCATTGTACACTTTGTTCGTGTCTCATGCCCTAGACACCTCTGGTTAACATGTGTTTCCCCATCCTAGGCATTTCTGCCCCCATGCCATTCCTGTACTCAGCTCTCACTATCCCGGCCCTTCTTCCAACACACACACACACACAGACACACACACACACGTCTATACCCTTGGGTCATAGCTCCTGGCTTCTCAGGGAAGTTCTGGTAGAAACATCAGCAGGCAAACAACAGAGGCCTATGCACTGCTGCCTCCTCTGGGCTCCTCCTAGCGCAGAGGTGGCAGGGGGGAAGGGGCCACAGCAAGCTCCTCCTCCAAGCTGCGGCAGCTCTTAGCTAAAAGCTTCTCTCCTAGTTCCCAGAGGACACCCCCTGCCCAACCCCAAACAATGCTATCAGGTTCCTATTAAATTGCCATCTGTTTCCCCTTTTCCAGGACAATGCAGCAGCCTGTGAGCTGATGTTCTGCGTTTTCACAGGTACAACAAAGAAGGGATGTTTCCCCCTTGTTCTTTGTCATGGTCTTCTGCTGTGACATCATTTCCCATCCCCTGATTAGTTATAGTTCTCAGCTGAACCAACTTAGTAACTGTGGAAAAAGGCAGAGATGTACAGTGGAACAAGCTATGAGCCACAGACTTGGGCCACTCCCCCTGGCTCTGCTGCTCACCCAGCGAGCACCCAGAGATTTCTGATCCCTGGGTTTGGTTTCATCATCCACTGAAGATAAAAAGTAGCGATGGTAATAATTCACCTGACTCTCTCCATGGACCATATGAGCTAAAACACCCCAGAGGGCCTTCTAAGCTCTCGAGTGCTCCTCTAATATAATCATCTCAACATGGAAGATTTTATATTTACCATTGTTTTAACCCCCCCAAATCATATCTGGTAAATACAGTAGGGAATGGGTAAATAAGTTAGTGTACATTATTTTAATGGAATACTGTGCATCTGTAAAAAAC